GGCAAAAAACTTTTGTGCTATACGCAGCGTTGCCATATAAATTTCTACAAAAATCTTCAAATTAAATCCTAACTGTAAATAATTATATAATCATATCTGTTCCGTGAATTGAATCCGTTTCAAAACCGAGAAACTTTTAAAACTAAATTAGGTGTTCTGTAAATCGGATTTTTATTTGAACGTAAAATTCAGAAAAATAAACATCTTTTAAATGAAAAAGAGTTTAATATGCCCATTAGAGTGACCGCAAAAAATCGATTTCGAAATCTTCTTCGTCTCAACCCCATAAAATGATTCCCCTTTCCAGATATTGAGATAGCCGAAATTTGAGCTCGATTAATAAATGACGAAAGATAACTGGGGCTTAGCGCTTTTTTCCATACAAATTGGCATTTTTTGAAGTCGTAGAATGCGCTTGTATCAGGGATGGCAAAATTGGTACGATGGTACTTTTTTTGATACACTTTGATGTTCAAAAGTACCGTTGTACTTCCGAGTCTTACTTGATACTCTCAGGGCCACAATCACAATATCCGATTATCGTTTAACAGATAGATAAAGAATTTTTGTATGAAAACCTTTAATATATCGTTTCGATAAAAAAAATAACAGGTTAAAGTATATTTAAAATTTCAAATTTTAAATTCCAAAAGTGCTTTAGCACATTGTTATATAAATTCTCAAAAATGCATCAACTAAAAGCCGTTTTTTCTAAAAAATAATAATAAAATTATAAACTACTAATAAAGTTGTACATATTTTTATCTTGATTGACATTATGTGAATATTAATCTTATTAAAATTTCATTGTTAATATTTTATGAGAAAATTACCAGAAATTTAAATTTTGAAATAATATTTGACTTTAAAACAAATGATACTATAAAACGATATGTTTTGAAACTAAGCATTTAACCAAAGATAATATAAGAAGTTTTATGTCAAAAATTTTTTGACTTTTAAGCAAATTATTGTTTCATGTCATATTCAGAATCGGATGTACGAGTAAATATCCTATTTAAGGTCCCACGACGGATTTTAATTCAATAACACATATTTAAGCGATTTATTGACAATGAACAGTCGATACTAATACTTGTAGCTCAATTATAAGCATTAAGTTGAAATTCTAAATTCGTCCTTTTTTAGGGTGAAATGTGGCCTGATTTTAATTAATGCAGGATTTATTAAAATATAATAAATTATATCATGACAGCTTTAAATTTAAGATATTTACATAGTACAATATCTGGCTAATATTTGAGATGTAAAAGGTGAACATTGAGGGACGGACAAGGATTCATCATATTAACATATAACGCCTTTCTACTTCTTTTACGGATTGTTTAAAAAAATTAAATGTAAATGTAGTTAAGAAATTGCCATCATTTAGCAAAAAAATATTTTAGTACTTTGAGATCCAAAAAAGTACCCTCTGAAATATTTTTTGATACTGACACAAAATCTCTTTTTCCATCCCTGGCTTGTATTTATTTTATTTTGAGAGCATTTGTTTTTAAGCTCACATTTTTAGGTACTCATTCTCACAACAGCATTACCATACTTCAAAAATATTTTCATACATTTTATAAACAAAACCATAAAAACACATTTCCTAATCAAGTGATCTGAAACACGTTAATGGCCTGGGGAATTTTTAATAACATTCACATTTTTCAACCAATTTTTCTGTTTTAAATCCTTTTGAAATACTAAATCTATGTACATTATGATTCTTTAACAATAATATGTAAAATGTTTACCTAATAGCAACATTTATCACATAATATCAAAATATACGAAGTATGCTTCTACTGCGACCAGTTTACGTTTTTGGAGACAAAATCTGTTGTAACTCTGTTTGACTTAAAGTAACAAGAATTATGAATATAATATAAATTATGAAGTGCAATATTAGCTTTGTTTTGAGGTACTAAGCGTGTATCTATTATTTACCGTTCTGGAGTTATAGCTTCATATGTTAGCTTTGTGGCCAACTTTTTGAACGACTAGCGGCACGTATTAACGTCTTTTAATCGAGCTCAAATTTCGGATATCTTAATATCTGGAAAGGGGAATCATTTTGTGGGGTTAAGACGAACAAGATTCCGACATTTTTTCTCCCCATATAAGATCCGATCAGTCTAATGTCCATAGCATTTATATATTCATATTAAGTTACAATTGTATAAAAAACGCAAAAAGAATAATCATTTATTTCGATTATAAAACGAGAAAAATTATGCGAATTCGTTTTTAAACGAGAAATGTACTCGGATTCGGTTTACAGAACAGGCAGGAGTTCTGTTTCCATGCTCTTCAGATTTGCAAATATTACTTAGGAACAGTAAAGTCAATTGGCACAATTTCCTTCGCTCTGCTCATTCGGAAGGAATACATTAGTGATAAATGACCCAATATGTAAACATGCAATCAAATGTTAAAACAATTATAGATAATGGAATAGCAATTGTTGTCTTTGACTTCTTGTTGAAATCTC